CATAGTTGATTATGTGTGCAATATGATCTTTGACAGTATGCAAAGAGTGTATCATTTTGTCATTTGTTTTATGCATTTCAGTTTAGAGTAGAGTGAAAGAGATAGAACCAAAACATTCTAGTTCATTTAGTGTTGCCATGTGGTACAATCCATTAGTAGTGTTGTCATGTGGTACAAGCCAGTAGTAGTGGTGTTGCCATGTGGTACACTGAAAAAGTGCAATAGCAGGTGCGTCACCAATGTTTTCGAGCCGCTCCGTCTGTCACTTAGTTTGTGGTATTCCGATTTGGACGAAGTTCTCCGTGACGAAGCCCGATGAATGGTTCAAGCATGTTGTTCCTGTCAAAAAGTGTTTGAATGATAGCTGGCAACAAGCCATACAGACTATCCCATTCCAATTATTGCTCGGTGTGAAAATGCGGACGAAACAGGACGAAATTCTTTATGACCTACTAGAAAGAGAAAATCAAGAGCATTTCAAGCTTGAAAGGTACGGACTACGGCAGATGGCGCGCGAAAGCATTCAACGCATTCAGCAAGAGAACCGGAAGTACTATAACCATAGAGGTAACTCTAAGACCACTGGGTCCCGAAGAAAATCATTATTATTTTTGGCTCACTCTGTCGTGAATGCGATAAATTAGCAATAATTGAAGAACGTTCTCGAATCACCCAAGACGATGCAAAGAAGTAAAATTTCAAAGTCAAATATAAACAGCTGTTCTGTTTCATCATCCCTTCGCTTAGTCAGGTTCAATGAACACGAGAGCAACGAAAATGACACAATATTATAGGTCAATTCTATGTAATAAGAGAACGCATATGCGGTACACTCTCGTTTGCTCAGTAGGATGTACCCAACGGGTGCATGCAGCATAAAACAGGCAATAAACTCAGCATAGGGAAATTATACGCTTTCACCAGTTTAGCTTTGGTATAGGCGCTGCGTAGGAGTCAAGTGCATCCTAAACGTATGCATACATGTGAGATTATTCTGGAAGGATTGCGTTGGTCCCAAAATGCATCACATGATCTTGAAGGAGAACGATGGATAAGTTTAGATCAGGAATACTTTTTGTCTCTTTCATTCTTATCAACATTACGTTAGGAAGATCTTAGCAGGAGACAAATCTTTCTAGGCTTAAACCCCTATATAAGGCGAATTTTCAACTTAATAAACTGAATGTTTTCGTTAGTCTTAAAACGTCTGTCGATCTGTTAAGATCCGAATTCCTTAAAGCCAGTACCTTCATCAGGTTTTAAACTAAGATTACTGATGAGACCAGAATCTCTAATTTAGTGAGAAGTTCAGTCCTCAGTTACAATCAAAGTCCAAACACCTGATGCTAAAGGCACTCCTTTTCTTTCTATCAAAATCTGAACCACGCTATTGTAACAGTCTCTTAATTTAGTAGAGTAACTGTCTTAGCGTCTTGAACAGTTCTTTGATAGAATCGAGAAAAAATAGGCACTCGCTCCAGTAGTCCCGGAAGGGCAACGGTGTACCATCCAAACCGTTCGGCGTGGTAAGTAAACCTTCGCGTGATTAAACAAGCTCGGGACAGCTTGTTTTAACTCCTCTGCCATCCGTGCCGAACACACTCAGTACCAGAACAACGGTCCCAAGCAGTCCCTAGCTATTTCACTCACCCCTGCATGTTCTGCATGAATCCACACACCCCTGATATTATTTGTCAAACTTTCATAGCGAATCAAAACAAACATAGTGTAGTAATAGAATTTCAACTAGAATAGGGTACGTTAATCGTTTGCTTGTGACCAATAGGCTACTAAAGTGGTGAGCCAATTTAAAATCGTTAGTTTCGTATTGATTGTTTCTATAACTCCCGTCGTAAGCCAACAAGGTAGGGGACGTCGTAGCAATACCGAAGACTCAGTTCCGAGTTGGACAAAAGGTGAAGCAGCGTTATTTCGGTTCATACGAGATAGTCAGCGTTTTATCCAACGATCGATATGAAGTTCGCAAACTGGACGACGAGATGGATGGTCCGAAGAAAAAATCAACCGCCGGGGATTGTTTGAAGCCGTGGTCACCTCCGGGCCGGATGTGATGTCAGGAAAGGCCGTGTGGGACGAATGGATAGTCCCTCGAAAATTTTGCATATCTGGTAACACTTCCTTTTGTTGAATAGTCAGTTCTCGTAGTTTATTGTCGGATGTGCGTGCCAAGGCCACCAAGCTTATTACAGTAAAGAGTACACTAATAAAATTCCACACATTTTTATTGACGAATTTCCATGTTTAATTCCATATGATTTTCATGTGACTACACATAAAAAGATTCCACCCAGAAGCACACATGAAATTTATGAGTGAAATTAATAGTATGTGTGGTTACACATGGCTTTTATGTGTACACATATTAAGTATGTGTCCGACACATAAATATAATTTGTTGATCACATTGCAAAAATTCACAATCTTTGAAATTTTATCAGTGTAGGAATAGAATTAATCTGCCTGTTTGTCCATATTCAGAACCACATGCCTCCAACGACCACACAAAATGTTCATGTGACCAAACTTGGACAAATGACTTTGATCGATTCTCTTCATCAACTTTCTCTTTGAATCACCACGGCTGGATACTTTCGATGGAAGAAGCAACAATCTAGCATCTAATTCGACGAAGACGGCCATTTTTGAAGCCGAGTTATTTACGAAAGAGAAAGTCGATGAAGATAATCGATCAATGTAGATAGAACCTATTGAAAAGTGACGCGAGATTTGTTTCCGTGCTGAGCACCAATGCTACCGACGCCAGGGAGGCACCTCCCACACCTGGACCCTACCTATCGACCCATCAACTCAACCGGGGACCAACGGCTTTACCTCCCGAAGGAAGGCGTGATCAGAGATGTTATGCCTCAGAACATCCCGGCGGCGCCGACTGGGATTGAACCCAGGCCTACTGGGGTGAGAAGTAATCACGCTTACCACTACACCACCGGCGCCGCTAACTTTCAAGGTTGGCAAACTACGCAAAAGGAAAGGAGCCAGTGTCGCTACTTGATAGCAACCCTAATAAAAATTGTATGGTTAATTTGCTTAACGACGTGTTCTGGGTATCATCCAAACCATTTGTGGAATAGTTCAATGATTTGGGTTGTCGTTCGTTTATGGTTATTTTTTATTAGGGAAACTACTCATAATGGGAGGAGTCTTTGTAGCTTGTATACTACTTGGTTGCACATCATTCTGCTTTAACCTGAAAAGATAAAACAGCGCTGCTGTCTAGCATCAACTCATTTTCGCTTCAATAGCAGCAATAGCAGCAGTAGGAACATGGTGGCTAGTCCACTCTTCTACATCCAAGAAGTCATCGCAAAGTTCTTCGAAACCACCATCCGTCGTCTGGCTCGCCGTGGTGGTGTCAAACGTATCTCCGGTCTGATCTGCGACAAAACACAACACAAGGTGTGCTGAAGGTGTTCCTGGAAAATGTGATCCGTGATGCTATCATCTACTCTGAATACGCCAAGCGTGAGCGGCCATGGATATCGTCTACAATAAAAGGGCCCTTTTCAGGGCCAACAAGCTTATAACAGTAAAGAGTTGGAATAGAATTTATCTGTGCCTGTTTGTCCATATTCAGAACCACAGGACCCCAACGACCACACAAAATGCTCTCCAGAGTTGTATTCTTGTAATCAAACTGGGAAGCAGGGGTGCAAGTGATTCTCTTCAACAACATTCTCTTTGAAAAAAAAATAATACTACAAATTTTATACGCTTACAAATAAAATCCGGAAAGAGTTAAGATAATTGATGATTTATCAATTAAAAGAACTTCACATTTGTTCCGTCCACTAGCGGTCCTACGTCAAGCTTCCGTTCGTGCCCTTAGGCACAGACCCTTCTGCTTTTTGGAATCAAAAACAATATTCTAACTCTATTGATTAATTGAATAGAATGAACGACGTAGTCCTACGTCAAAACTAGTTAAATTTGAGAAGCACACGAAACATGAGGGTGATTGAATTTCAGTGCATTCCCGCATAAACGGGAACCATAAATTGACCTTACCTAAAATGGTTAAAAATTGTTTATAATCCCTGCTAAACTTTAACTGAAATGGTTATGGAACTTTACATGAACGTTTAATGATAAAGTTTCAACCTTATGTATTATGGTTTTTTGGAACTGGACCTTACAAATAATGGGTTGTTAAGAACCATTACCATTCCAAATTCTTGTTTTCTCCATACATTTTCAGAAAGAGAACTATATAAGAACGTTTTTACTTATGATTTGAGAACATTAATGGTAATGGTTATGGTAGTCAGTAAGGTCCATTAATTGTTTTGTATTATCGCTCAACTTTACGTGGAATATATCGTGAATTGGTGATCAGTAAATTACAGGCAACCAATTCGCGATATATTCCACATAAAGTTGATCGATGTTACAAAACCATTCGTGGACCTTAATGACTACCATAACCATTACCATTAAAGTTCTCAAACCATAAGTTAAAAGGTTCTAATATAGTTCTCTTTCCGAAAATGTATGGAGAAAACAAGAATTTGGAACGGTAATGGTTCTTAACAACCCATTATTTGTAAGGTCCAGTTCTAAAAAACCATAATACATAAGGTTGAAACTTTATCATTAAACGTTCATGTAAAGTTCCATAACCATTTCAGTTAAAGTTTAGCAGGGATCATAAACAATTTTTAACCATTTTAGGTAAGGTCAATTTATGGTTCGCGTTTATGCGGGTTCTCTTCGATCATCTCTCCCTCTGAGTATTTCTATTGGAAATAGGATATACAATATAAACAAACCTTGCTTCGAACAACACACCCCTCTGGCGCACATGCTTGGAACAATTTCGGACCGTTTCCGAAGGGCTCACCGCACAAACAACACACGCGCGCGCATTTTGACAGCGTACCGTCATCCGTTCAACTGTCAACTGGTTTTCTCCGTTTTCTCGCTTCGTTTTTTCCCCCTGTGACCGTGGATTGTGCAAAACGCGAGTGGTGGAAAAAGGTGGAAACTCATCCGCACACGCGTAAAATTTTCCTTATTCGTCCGTGTCATTCCCTTAGAAGCAGCAGCAGCAGCAGCAGAAGTAGTGTCCGCGCGGCTAGAAGAAAATCGATTTTTCCTTGTTCCATCTGGTTTATCTGGGAAGTTACCTGCGGTTGACTATTAGTCACCATCGGTTGTTCGGTTCCTAATTCGACGTGTATTGAAATATAGCGACGTAATCTAGTAGTGCATTGCCGTCGTACAGATCGGTGTGTGGTTTGCAATTAGTGGTGAAATAGAAGGTGAATCAAGAATCCGAAGCGCTAGTGGAGCAGCATTTGGCCCCACGAACAGAGGAGCAGTACAGTAACGAGCAGCAGCAGGAGGAGGAGGAGCGCACCATGCAAAGTGTTTCATTTCACAAGATTGCTTGCGACGTTTCGGATGCCCATCATCAATTGTTGCTGAAAAGTGCCAAGTGCTGTTCGTATAAAACTGGTGCCGCGAGCCAAGGTACTTTCATAAGCGCCGACGAAACCTTCGGGAACTGTTGTGGTAGCCTTACGAGAAGATCCTGATCATCGTAATCCTAAAGTGAAAGGAAGCAGAGGGAGACCTAGAAAAAAAAACAAAGATAGTGTGCTTACGTGAAACTGATCGACCTGAGTCTGAAAGTAAAATCAGTTAATAACATATAAAAAGTGCAAGAAGCAAATTTTATATTTAGCTAACAAGTAAATACAGCAGCAACAACAACAACAACCAAAATCGGAGGATAGTGTGTGAAACAGAGCACAGAAAGCGAAGAGTGGTTTTTTATTTGTGGTTGATTTCGAAATCAGTTTGAATTCGCTGGTAGCAGAAGCAGAACCAGCCGTCACCATAGGTCCAGAAGGGAAAAGTAGGAGGAAGTCGGGAGCCAACAAGATGCCTCGAAATCGAAAAAAGAATTCCGGTGAGTTTTGGGGAGCTTTGTTTTGATCACGGGATTTCAATTAGTTCAAGGTGATTTACGCGAGTAAGGTCTCAGCGTGGAATTTCTGAATGTATGTGCTTACGTATGTTGGGTGCGAAAGTAAATCACGCGCTCGTGTGTCTGTCTATCAGTCATAAAGGTTTATGAAAAATGTATGCGTGCCCTTGACGGACCGTGGTTGTTGGGGAAGAGTGTTCCTCCTGTTGTAGTAGTGGTTTTTTAATTGGAATATTTTTGCTTCAACTTGGATGCCATCCAACCATCGTCACTTACTGTCTATGGTTGGATGAATAAGAATCTAGAATGTGCGAATGTGCAGTAAACTACTGTACTCGCAAAACAAAGGCTCTGCCTCGCATCGAACTGCACATTGTATTGCTATTGACGGCCAGAAAGCTTCCTGATCACGATCAGAAGTCGTGATCAGGAAGCATTCGGAAAAAGGATCAGAGGGAATGGGAGGCATAAGATTAGGATCTTTCTCTTGCCAAATCCGTCGAAAGCTTTTTTTTTCGGGAACAGCTGAGTGTTGTTTGCTGGCAACGTGTTCGTTCGCGTGTCAGGCGTGGGCTTGTGTTTGTTAGTGTAATAATATTCATATAGGTACGAATTGCTGCGGGAATCGAAGGGAATGGGGTGGTGGTGGCGAGTGGGCGGTCGGTTAGAGTGATTCAGCACTGCCTGAATGCTGTTGTGGCAGCAGTAGTGAGTATATGTACATGTAGAATGCAGGTACTTGCCTATAGCAACGACGTCAACACGCTCGATTGTGTTGGTGGACAGCAGCAAGGAGCTACGTAAGGTTGCCTGTCGTGATAACCGAAGTCAGGTGCTTTGTAGATAACTATTTACTATATTGCAACGTTTATCAGCGTTCTGAAGGCTACATCCGGAACTGCTATGATCCGGAATTTAGTCAAAAATCTCAAATCTTGCGGTTATCTCTGTTGTTTAATCTACCAACATTATTTGAAATTATGGGGGCTTCTTAGCCTTCGTCATCTTCTCTTGTGAATTTATTAAATTAAATTGGAGTTAAGTTTTAGCTAGTGCTTATGCAGGGTGTCCACTCATTTTGCTAAATAAAATTTCAGGAGTTTTCCAGGTTTTTCCAGAACATTTTTTTTTATTTATTTCTTTATTATCGAGATTTTCAGCCGCAGGCTGGTTCATCTCCCGTTTAATGGTAACATGGAGAGGGCGTTTGAAAGATCCAGTGAGGCCCCCCTTGGCAATTGAATAATAAATAGTTACAGTGGTTCATGCCATATTATACATATTATAAAGATGTAAAACAAAATCGTAATCCGTTAAACGTTGGCAAATGTGGGTTGCTGAGATGATAACAATATTGATGTTAGGAGAACAGTCCGTTAGGTGTTTGCAGGATAATCAGTTTCCAGAACTTTTCGGATAATTTCCATGTTTATAAGAAAGCTGTTGCCCAACAGTGCTCCTTCTATTTGCGTGACAAGCTTTCATTGTTGTTTTCATTGAAGTATTACTCAGGGAACAATGATAAACAGCATTTTTGTGCATGGTATTGTAACTAATCTTATATGTGCTTCATTTTGATTTGGGATAAGTGTTTGAACTATAGCTCGAGATTTCCACTGTGGTGTGTCTCTATTGTGACATAGCCATACGTATTTTTGTGGTGCGACATAGTGGAAACGTGTGAGCATAGTTGGAGCATATACCCTATATAATTTAAAAATCAGCTAGGAAACTAACTTCAAAGTGAAGCATTTTAGTCACTTGAAGGTGTCACCTTGGTGGAACTATCATAAAAAGTCAAAAGCTCTCGAAACACGTTTAATTTTAGATTACAAGCACAAGAGCAGGTACTTAATAAATCATGGGTTATGATTGATGAGGTAGATTAGAGATTTCAATTATTTATTAAATTAGACTAATGAGATATCATAATCATCAAACGAACTTAAATGAGAAACTTCAGAAAGTCTAATAAGTAGATTAACAAAAGAATTAGGATGTGGGGGGGGTCCGCTCAGGGATGCAACTAACCTTTAAAGTTGTAGAATAAATCTTCCTATTTAGTCTTCTAGAGATGAACTAGCCTAAGGCTAAAAATCTCTTTAATAAAGCCTTAAAAAAACTATTTAGTCTTGAACTTCAGTAAGAATACGCAAGCAGACCAATAGCATTAAGCAGATTAATGCGGTTAAAGTATTTGAGTTAACTTATTTCTTTTTGTTCAAGTACTAACATTTGTAAACAGCAGTCAATGTTATTCTATGAACTTAACCCTACGTGACTGTAAAATCGATCTTTCCTTATGTGGTATTGATGCATGTTTACCTTTTCGCGGCTGTCGGATTCAACGCGCCTATGTCTACGGAGCTTACGCAGAAGTGATTCGCAATTCGGTAGAGCTTGTCAAACGCTTTTGAGCTTATGTAGTATAGAACTTGTTCGGTACGGTCGCGAAATTTTGAAATGATTGATACGTTCTTTAAATTAACTAATTTGATACAAAGCTCAGTAGTAAATAAGTAGAATATCTAGGGAGGAAACCAAAATTAATCAACTTGCCAACATAGGCTATCACATTTATTTTGGTGGCACTCTTTAAATGATAATAAGCCTTTTTCTCGCTTCGGTTGTCACGCACGGTTTTCGCAACTTATATAATTAAGATATTTCGTTCGAAACGGATTTACTTATTCAATCGGTTTACTACGCAGATGTATCTACGCGTACACGTCACAGCATTTTTTTCCATAACTATCTTGTGAAACAATACACACGGAATCAAGTGTTCAAACGGCCAACATAGGCTAGTCCTTCTGCTGTATTGTCAAAGATAGAAGCAAAATTTATTCAAATGGGTCAAGTCTTAAAAACTAAGCTGTCACGCAGCTCCAGCTTGATGCCCAATAATTTTTTTAATGGTAATGGTTATGGTAGTCAGTAAGGTCCATGAATGGTTTTGTAACATCGATCAACTTTATGTGGAATATATCGCGTATTGGTTGCCTGTAAATTAATGATTAATCCGGATTCCTCGGCAACTCCATGTGCGCTAGACCTGTCTTGACCGAGAGCACCAGCCTTTCCCATATGGCCCCCATATGGGGAGCGTACGGAGGGTTTAGCTTGCATTTGGGTTTCTGCTTTTGGGAACGTCGCTGCTAGATCCCGATTTATGGCGTCGATCTGCTGCTTTAACTCTGCGCTAGCCCCTTGGAGGTTGGTTCCTTGATCCGAGTAAATTTCCTGTGGCGCACCTCGGCTGGCAATGAATCTACGTATTGCCATCTTGCAGGATTCAGAAGACAGACTGTAGGCGACTTCCAAGTGGACTGCTCGAGTTCCTAAGCAGGTAAAGAGCGCTACCCACCGTTTGACTCCACCACGTCCAAAGCGAACAGTGATCGGCCCATAATAATCCAGTCCCGTAAAGGTAAAGGCCCTGGCATACGGCGTGAGACGAGCAGAAGGCAGAGGAGCCATTAGTGGTACTTGTGGTTTGGATTTGTATACTCTACACCAGTAACAGCCACTTGCCACTTTCTTGACGGCTGTTCGCAGTTCGGAATCGTGAAACTTCTGCCAAATCTCGTTCACCACCGTTTCATTGTTGGCGTGTCCGTACTTCCTGTGATACCCAAGGGGGGGAGGTGGCTGTCAAATAAGAACAATCGTCGCCTACCTCGCATAATTGGGATAACTGGTTCCAAACGTAAACAAGCCATAAGAAACCACAGCGTTCGTTTACGTTTGGAACTAGTTTCATACAAGAATGATCAGTAGGCTGATTTGACAGCACGTCCCCCCCCCCAGGTGATACCAGTTGATCACCAGTTGAGTGACGTAGCGTTCCTTAGGCAAAATCACGGGAAACTTGCTGTCGTACGAAGCGCACTCCGCGGCAGCGATGCTGGATCCCATTCTCATGACCCCAGATGAGTCCAGAAACGGGGATAATTTAAAGACTCAACTACTCTTCTGGTACGTCTATGTTCTTCTGGCTGCACTTCATGATTTCTGTGAATAATGCTGCATTCCTCCGGAACACAGCTGACTCCGTTTGTTTGCACTCCTCGCTGGTCACACTACTCAGGGTTACTTCTCCGTCCTGTTTTGATTCTTCTCGACAAATATGCTTGCAGCCAAATCGTAGAACGAATGCCACTGTACGACGGGTTAATCTTTCCCACTTCGAGAATCGTTCGAAACCGATGACCGGCTGCGTCGATAGCTATATAGGGACTCTGGACCCTTGAACCACCTGCTGTGTTCATCGAAGCATGGGCCATGTCCCCATTTGGTGGCTTCATCAGCAACGTTCATCCTGGTTGGCACCTTCCTCCAATCGCTGACTTCCGTTTCATCCAGGATCTCTGTTACCCGGAACGCTTAACCGTAGCCAGTTAAGACCCACTGAAGAATCACTCCACAATACTTTGCGCTTGACCTGCAAACTGTGACTCTAAATGACCTTCATGAGTCGTGTTCCAATCACAGCTGCTTGCAGCTCTAACCGTAGTACTGACAGCAATTTGATCGGCGCTACCTTTTGTAACGTGCCAGTGCGGTGTTACTCCCAGCACTGATGAGACCCCCGTCTCCAAGCCTCAGGGTCGGCACACGCTCGTGATTATTCCGCGAACCAAGAAAACACTCAAAGTTCACTTAAGATAAACTCCCACTTTATTCGTTTTGACGACACTCACTTCACGGACGGTCTCCCACTTCCTTAGGTTTCTACTCCTACCTTGTGCTAGCACTACTCTTCTTTGTCTTCGGGGCCCCTTCACCTGCCACTGCCGTCGTCGTTCCTCTCCTTCCTCTGGTACCGCATCACCTTCTTGGGCCAGGGGTGGACGACTCTACCTGTCCCGTGCGCCCCTCGAGTATGGTGACGGACTCGAGGTTTCAACGAACCACAAGGGTAAGTTGACTTGCCTGGATTGGTTGCGCACACTGTAGCTGAGGGATCAGATTCTGGAACT